CCCCCCTCCAAATTCCCCTTTTGTCCCCCTAAATCTGCCTCACCTTCTTCTACTTGTCCTCGTCCTCTCTTTTATACATCTTCTTCTCTATTGTTGTTTCTCCTCCACCACCACAACCGATGCTCCTCTCTTCCACCATTCTTGTTGCGGCTTCATAATAATATGATTTAATTTTTTAATTTTACTTAACTATAATAAATTTATAGTAGAATACTATTCTTGCGTTAGAGTTTGCAAAATATTTAGAAATATTATATAGATTGATTTTGTAATTTTCAATTATTAGATATGGATTCAATTCCTTTTCTTGTTTGCCACAAGATTTTTTATTTTGATTATTTATAATTGATGGAGTTTTTGTATGGTTTTAGAATTGTGATTTGCTGAATAGTGTATTTGGTCTTGTCCTTGTTGGGGTGGTGGCATGAGGATGATAATGAGGTTGTGACTTGGTTGTGAGGGTGGCGGAAGAGTGATGGTGGCTATGACTTGACTACGGATGAAGAAAGTGGGGTTCACATTAAATAAATAAAATAAAATTTTAATGACTTTCACACGTCCAAAATTGTGTGAAAATCAAACATTTTGGGGTGTCTGCATGAGGGGATTACAAGACACACGAGTCAAGTAGAAGTATCTTGATGATCACTACCTAATAGCATGTTTAGCTCCTTAAGAGGACAAAAATATTTTTTTTTTCTAACTTGAGGTGTTTAGCAAAGCTTTTGTTTTAGGATAAAAGTATTTTTGAAAAGAAGCAGAAGTAATTTTTGAGAAGTAGAAAAAATTATCTTCTTCCCAGAAACAGAAACAGTTTTGACTTTTCTTCATACAAAAAATATCCTTAACAAAATATAGTATATACCAAAATAATCATTAAATCTAATACTTAGGATATTAATGAATAAATATTTTTTATTATTTTTAGGATAACTTTCTAATATAAAGTTACTTTAGGGTGAATGTTTTTATATTTGTTGAATGATTTTTAATATATTTAACTTATATTAAAAGAATTAAATACTTTTAAACTTTATTTTCATATTTTTCTTAAATAAAATAAAAAAATTAATTATTACCTGTAATATAATTTTTTGAGATTGTTTATTTACTTATAATATTAACTATTAAGTAAATTTATTCATGTTCTTATTTGTAATTTGATACTTAAAAGCATTTTTTGAAAAGTTTGGCCAAATACAAATTATTGCTCAAAAGTGCTTTTCAGAGTGTTTAGCCAAATACAAATTGTTTCTCTCAAAAAATACTTTTGAAAAAAAAAAAATATCAAAAACACCTTTCTCTCATGTATTTTGGTTGAAATTCTCTTTTATTTTTATTTTTTTGACGTTCTCAAAATTTCTTTTAACGGTTTTTTGAAAAATATATTATGCTTCTTAAAAGCATTAGCCTATTAATGTGGTCTGATGCCCTAGCAAAATAAAAAGAAGGTAGGGGTTGAAGCCATAATCGTAGCAAAATATTTTACATTGCTAGGAGAAAAGACAAAAGAAGAAAAATGTCTTTATGAGATAGCTGGCCCCGGGATAGCTAGCTGGCTGCAGCTGCTTCATTGTTGTTTTCCTCTTTTTCCTTTTTTCTTATTCGAATATGAGTTGTACTACTTCTTCACTCAAAGCATCGGACCTTCTTTACTACCATAATATCTTCAAAACTCAGTAACAGACCATTCTCCGGCAAAATAAGGGTACCGTATTTCTTATTTTTCCCGATTATTTCAGTTATTCTTCTTACAACTTCATATTTACATCCATTTACTATTGTTTGGTTGCAGCATTTTAAGGGTATTGCCACATATATCAATGGTTGGAATGGTTTATTTATCCGTGCAGCAGTCATGTCTTACTATTTATATTTTGTTCATTCAGATGAAGAATCAGATTTTGGTCGAGGGTGTGATCCAGACATTTATTGGAGGTCGTACTTTTTATTATTTTCTCTCAACCTTGATAGAAATTGGACGATATATTTTCTACAACTACGACTTTTTAATGGTAGTCTACATTTCTATCATATTTCTCATACTTATTCTTTTTATAGGACTTATTTGCACGGATTCCAAGTTGATTCACAAGATTTCCAAAAGGTTCATGTATGGCACTTAAATTTTGTTAAACTAGGGGCAAAGATATTCCACATGTATGATGGATCTGCCTTTATTTATGTTTCCTTTGCCGGGCGCACTTATCCACTTGAGCCTGCTTCCTTTGCTAGATGTATTCTAAAATAGTTTTCTATTATATCTTTGGTTTTACAAATTAAATTGTATACATTTAGGGGTCGTTTGGTAGGGTGTATGAGAATAGTGCAGAATACAGTGTATTAGTAATGCAGAATTAGTAATGCATGAATTAGTAATGCAGTGATTAGCAATGCATGAGTTAGTAATGCAGGGATTAGTAATGCATGAATTAGTAATGCAGTGATTAGCAATGCATGAGTTAGTAATGCAGGGATTAGTAATGCATGAGTTAATAATGCAGGGATTAGTAATGCAAGCATTAGTTATGCATATATTATTTCTTATAAACTGTTTGGTGTGATGTATTAAAAATTATAATGTATTGCATAATTTTTAAGAAAAAAAGGTTATTTACAAAAATGCCCTCCATATTCTCTAGCTTTAAGAGACTTTAAGGATAATTTTGTCTTTAACCATACTAATGCATGCATTAATAGCATTGGTATTATTACTGTCATGGTTTTCTATGCATTACTTATACATAGGCTAATACCAAGTATGATGTATAACTAATGCAAGTATTAGTGTAAAGACCCGGCTGGTCGTTTTGAGAATTAGAGTCCTGATCCCCTAATATCTGCTTTCCCCACATTTGTTTCTACTTTTGGAATTTTGCCGGAGTGATTGGTTATGGAATTCGGGGAGTTTTGGGACACATAGTCCCTAGTTGTGAGTTTAAGCCTTAGAAATTGGATCGTAGTCGGAACTGTGTGAAGACGAATCCGGAATGGAATTTCGTCGACTCCGTTAGTTTCGTTGAGTGATTTTGAGCTTAGGAGCGCGTCTAGAAAGTAGGTCTGTAGTAGATTTAGGCTTGAATTGGCGAAAGTTAGATTTTCGGCGATTTCAGGCGATAGTGAAAATTTTGATATCGAGCTCGAAATGAATTTCCGAAAGTGGTTGTAGGTTCGTAGTATCATTTGTGATATGTGTGTAAAATTTGAGGTAATTCGGACTAGATTTGACGTGGTTCGGCGTCGTTTGTAGAATTTGGAAAATTCTAAGTTCTTAGTCTAGAATCCGTGCTTAATTCATGATTTTTGGTGTTATTCGATGTGGTTTGAAGGCTCGACTAAGTTCGTATGGTGTTATAGGATTGGTTGAGGTCCTGGGGGCCTCGGGTGTGTTTCAGATGCTTAACGGAATGAAATTGGACTTAGAAAAATCTGGTATTTTTGCTGGTTCTGCTGTAATCGCACCTGCGCAAGGCTACCCGCAAGTGCAAGCAAATTGGCGCAGAAGCGGAAAAATGGAGGAGTGCCAGGTGCAAGGTGATTTCTGCATCTGCGATGCCCGCAGATGCGTTAGGGGTCTTCGCAGGTGCGCAGATGCGAAAGGGAATTACGCATGCGCGCACGCGCAGATGCAGACCTTTCATTGCAGGTGCGAAGGCAGAGGGGGAAAGTGAATTGCGCAGATGCACACAATTTCCGCACAAGCGCACCCGAAGGTGCGAGCCCAGGTTCCGCAGGTGCGGAAATACCTGGGCAGTGGTTAAAACCGAAGGGCATCGTGATTTTTTGTCATTTTTGACTTTGCAAACTCGGCTTAGGGCGATTTGTGAGAGCATTTTCGAGGCATTTCTTGAGGTAAGTCCCTTGTGCTTATATTTGATCAATAATATTGCTTTGCCATATATTTTTCACCTAGTTAGTATGTATTTAAGGTGAAAATTAGAAGTTGGAGGCTAGGGATTTGGAAATTTGATTTGTGGATTTGGAGGACCATTTGGTATCGAAATTTAGTAATTTTGGTATGGTTAGACTCGTGGAGGAATGGGCGTTCCTATTTTATAACTTTTACCCGATTCTGAGACGTGGGCCCTATGGGCAATTTTTGAGTTAATTTCGGGATTTTATTAAAGTGTTGATTTCATTAATTAGATGAGTGTATTATTGTAGTATTTATGATATGTAATTGCTTTTGGCTAGATTTGGACTATTCAGAGCCGGATATTCGTGGGAAAGGCATTGTGACCGATTGATTGAGCTTGGTTCGAGGTAAGTGACTTGCCTAAATTTGTTGGGGGGAAATCCCCTTAAGATTTGGAACTATTGTGCTATGTGAGCGCCGTATACGTGAGGTGACAGGTACGTACATGGGTTAATCGTGGAAAATCCGATTTTCTTACTGAGCAGCAACATATTTTTCTGTTATTTTGAGTCATACCATTTTAATGAGTACTAATCTATTTTTATTTCTTAATTGAGTTATTCCAATACGTGTAGCTATCATGTTTAGTCTAATACAACATGTCTACGTGTCTTAATTGTTTATGTGAATTATGTGAAATATGCTTAATGAATTTCCCGCTTCTTCACTGACTGGTACTTAGACTAAATTATAAGAATTTCGTAATGTAGTTGTATTTCTATCATTCGCGCTGCATATTTACTTTGGGACTACGGAACAGTATTGTGGTAGATCCCCATGTACTGCATATTTACTTTGGGACTACGGAACGGAATTCCGGGAGATCCCCCTGCACATTTATTTTGGGACTACGGAACGGTATTTCGGGAGATTCCCGTGCACATTTACGTTTCGAACTACAGGACGGTATCTCGGGAGATCCCCTATTGTGTTTCTGTGTACTAAGTTGTTACCTTTTATGATTTCATTGTTGTTAAATTTCAGCTTTTATTTTATTGCGGTATTACACTCTATATTATTTTATTACATATTTACCAGTAGGGCCTTTATCTGACCTCGTCACTACTCGATCGAGGTTAGGCTTGGCATTACTGAGTACCAATTGTGGTGTACTCATGCTACTATCTGTACATGTTTTGCATGTGCAGATCCAGGTGTACCTTATTAGCCGTACTATGAGTTAGCCGGGACAACTTTGGAGACTTCAAGGTATATCTGTCGCGTCCGCAGACCTCGGAGTCCCCTTCTACTCTTTCTCATATCCATTATCTTCTGTATTTTTCCTTGTTAGACTCGGATGTATAGAGACACTACATTTTTCTTTCTGTAGTTTGTGATTCACGATGTTCCTGGGTTTGGAATTTGTTGTGTATTTTTGAATAATTGGTTAAATTCATATTTTTATTTCATTTTTCCGCAGAATGTTAGGCTTACCTAGTTGTAGAGACTAGGTGCCGTCACGATGTCACACGGAGGGAAAATTGGGTCGTGACAAGTTGGTATCAGAACTCTAGGTTCATAGGTGTCATGAGTCACAAACCGATTTAGTAGAGTCTCGCGGATCGGTACGGAGACGTCTGCACTTATCTTCGGGAGGCTATAAAACTGTTAGGAAAATTTCACTACTTTGATTCATTGTCGTGCGAAAATTGTTGACTTCAAAGATTCTAAACTTTTGTATTCTATTCTCTCACAGATGGTGAGGACACGTACAAGCAGATCTGATGACCAGGCACCCACGGCCCCTGCTAGAGCCGTGAGAGGCCGGGGCCGGGGCCGGAGCTGGGGTAGAGGCTGAGGACTTCCATGTGGTGCAGCCAGAGCACCCGCACGAGCTGCTATAGAGCAGCCCCCAGTAGTTCCAGCTGGAGGACAGGCATCTGAGGCACTTATTCATACACCTTCCCCCAGGAGACTCTAGCCCAGTTTCTGAGCATGTTCAGCACCTTAGCTCAGGCTGGTTTGATTCCACTTGCTCCTGCCATATCTCAGGCCGGGGGAGGAGCACAGACTCCCGTCGCCGATACTCCAGAGCAGCGGGTTCAGGTCGACCAGATTCCAGAGGTTGTACCAATATAGCCAGTAGCTCCAGCTCAGCCCGAGGTTAGGGCAGCAGCTTCTGAGATGGAGTAGCTCATACTTGAGAGGTATAAGAAGTACCACCCACCTACTTTTAGCGGATTGGCTACAGATGATGCTCAGGGTTTTATGGAGGAGTGTAATCGTATACTCCGTACTATGGGTGTAGCTGAGACGAGCGGGGTTTCTTTTGCCATATTCCAGCTTAGAGGAACAGCCTATCAGTGGTGGCGTGCTTATGAGTTGAATAGTCTGGCTGAGGCAACTTCACTTACATGGACTCAGTTCTCGGACATATTTTTGAGAGAGTATGTCCCTCAGAGCCTTAGGGACTCATGGCGCACAGAGTTTGAGCAGCTGCACCAGGGTGCTATGACTGTGTTAGAGTATGCAGTTCGCTTCAGCGATTTGGCCCGACATGCACTGGCCTTAGTTGCCACAGTTCGATAGAGGGTTCGACGGTTTATTGAGGGTCTCCATCCCAGCATCCGAAGTAGTATGGCCAGGGAATTGGAGATGGATATTTCTTATCAGCAGGTTGTGGGTATTTCCAGGAGATTCGAGGGCATGTTTTCCTGGGATAGAGAGGAGAGGGAGGCCAAAAGGTCTTGAGAGGCTGGTTATTATTTTGGAGCTCGTGCCCTAGTAGCTCGCCATGGTAGGGGTTATGTGAGCAACCCCGTTCAATCAGCTCTTTCAGCCTCCTGCGGTGTTCCAGCTCCTTATAGACCCCAGAAGCCTTATTATGCACCACTAGTATCTAGTGTGCCTCCTGAACGGGGTGTTCCTAGCGGTCTGTCCAACAGACAAGGCCCGAGACAGTCATAGCAGTCACTCCCTCCCAGAGCTTGTTTTGAGTGTGGCGACACTCTCCACATGGTGAGGGATTGCCTCAGGATTAGGAGGGGTGCACATCCACAGACTTTTCAGCCAAAACGTGCTCCACTGTGTCCTCAGGCTATGATTACAGCACTAGTTGCCACCCCACCTGCTCAACCGGCTCGAGGCGGAGGTCGCCCTAGAGGGGGAGGCCATGCTAGATATTATGCACTTCCTGCTCGTACATAGGCAGTTGCTTCTGATTCTATCATTACAGGTATTGTTCCGGTCTGTCATAGAGATGCGTCAGTATTATTTGATCTAGGCTCTACATATTCTTATGTGTCCTCTTATTTTGCTCAGTACTTGGGTGTATTTCGGGATTCTTTGAGTTCCCCTATTTATGTATCTACTCATGTGGGAGATTCTCTTGTTGTGGACCGCATGTATCGGTCGTGTTTGATTTCTCTTAATGGTTTTGAGACCAGAGCCGATTTATTATTGCTCAGCATGGTGGACTTTGATATTATTTTGGGCACCATTATGCTATTCTTAATTGTCACGCTAAAACCGCGACGCTGGTGTGAGCACCTAATTTTTGACTATATTTGAATTTTATCACCTTCTACTATGTAAATATTTTCAGAAATTTATTATATATTTTTTTAGCTTTGTTACACTATATATATAAGGTAGAAATTAATAATAATTTAAAAGGTCAATTATTACTATTAGTATTATTTTTATTATTATTTTTAT